AACAATCCTTGGATTTACAGTGGCTCCCACCTAGAAGCCAACTCCAGGTGTGTGTGGGGGAGATGCTTTTGCTTCCTGTTTCTTGAAACAAGTGGCAATGATAGGAAGAAAACTGTACCCCTTCCTCCCTCCCAGGCACTTGTTTAGACTCTGCCACTCCTTACACCATGGTTTGGGGGTCCACTGGCTCTGTCCTTCAGGGCTTTGCTCCTAAATCTAGACCCTTCCTGGTATTCATTAAAACAAATAAAAATGTTCTCTTTTATCTTCTACTCCCTCTAGGTCTGATTCTACTCAGGCACTTCCTTCCAGAGCACACACACAAAAATGAACATGAATTACTTGGAGAAGTTTTGGAGGGCTGTCTTCTTCCTGAAGGATGGAGATGATTCTTCTTTTGAATTATAAAACCCGAGTAAACCTCACTGCTGAATGCTCTGGGGATATTCTAGAGAAATGGTTCTCACCTCTAGCCAAAAAATAACAAAATAAAAATTTTTCACATCCAAAGAAGGACTCTAATGAAGAAAAGTGTATCCTAGACTAATTTCTGAGCCCATAACAATCCCAATTTTTTTCTTTTCTTAACTATCAAGATTACTGTATTTGAATACTTGGATAAGACCGGGAAGATGGTAACAAGGAGTAATCAAAGACCATAATCCTCCCCACACCCAATGTTCTATGTCCTGCAGATTGTTAAAAGCAGTGAGTGAGTTAGGGAAAGATGCTTCTGCTCCCAAAGGGAGAACAATCAATAAAACCCAGCAAACTTTGCAGGCAATCTTGTGAAAGGTCACTTTTAATCGTCTTGAATTTGTTGATCGATTTTACTCATGAGACACATTTAAAACATCTGTTAGGCATCAGATTTATAAACAAACATGTAGCAAAAGAGAAATCACAAACCTGCTTGATGCTTCCCCTTGTTCTTTCCTTCAGGTGCGTGCAGACAGAAGAGAAATGATGATAAACCGGTGAATACATTTACAGCACTTGATAATGGCCAAATTGGAGACTGGGGAATCAAGTACTTTAAGTAGCCCTTTTCAAGTACAAGCCACAAAGGCATTCACTTATAATAAATATACTCAACTTTCCAACATATGTTCTTTGTGGTACAGATCTGAGATAGCACATTTACTTAGCAAATCCAATACTGCCCACATATCGCCCAAAGCTCTTCATTAACCAAGGTTATTCATGGGTAAGAAAAAGTGGTTCTGATCCGACTGGCATTAGAAGGTTGCTAGTTACAAAGGAGCTCCAGTCTCTGTGCCTTAGGGAGACGTTTGAGTTCTAAATTTGAATTCATTAATCAGTAACTGTGGCCTTTTACTTCAGCCACTTGTTGAGGTAGATTTTTTTTCTATAGTATAAAATATGATTTCGCTTGGAATAAATAAGATACATAAAAAATGTATTAAAGTGTCGGGCATGGTGGCACACACCTGTAATCCCAGCAGCTCAGGAGGCTGAGGCAGGAGGATCGTGAGATCAAAGCCAGCCTCAGCAAAAGTGAGGCACTAAGCAACCAGTGAGACCCTGTCTACTAAATAAAATACAAAAAGGGCTGGGGATGTGGCTCAGTGATTGAGTGCCCTTGAGTTCTATTCCCAGTTCCACAAAACAAAACAAAACATTAGAACTCTTTTAGTCTACTGTTGAATAGCATTTTTAATAATTCATGTGAGCAAATTCAGGTCTAGGCAGCACGGTGCAGAGTCACCACTCCTAGCAAATGAGCCTTGGGCCTCTGGTAGGCACCTCTCTTCCCTGGGGGTCTTCGTATTTGTCATGACTGAATGGGAAGGTCTTATGTTAGAATCTAACTTCTGACTTCTTAAGGAAACTTGTGGCATCCCTGGAGTTTGATAATTCCTTACAGCTTCATAGAATATGTCTGACTCATCCTCTAAAATAGCACATTTACCCACGTTTCACCCTTTGCATAGCTTTTGCTCACTCTGAGAAGAAAAATCAAGGCAAACCTTTCCTTCTATAAATCCTTCTGTCTGAACAACACTTTGAAGTAGCATCTCAGATCTCCAAGGTGTACATAAGAGACATCCAGGCCAGAAAAAGAGAGAGTAGGAAACTGCTGGTTTGCACCCCTGGCAGAATTGAGTGGGTGCGGCATGTCCCCGCTGCCTGCCTCTCTCCCTGACACCTCTGTTTCTTAGACTCTTTCATCCTACTCCTTGGGAGGAGCTTGTGGAGTCACAACGTCCCACTGTATTTCTAAAACTGTGGGGAAGCAGAGCATGGGGCTGCTGATTTTCAGTGATAACTACCATTGCTGCTGCTGGTGATGATGATGTTAGTAATGTGTTCTTTCCCCTGACTTCTCATTTAAAATTGCAGCCCCTGATACTCCCTAAATTCCTTATTTTTCTTTCCTCCTTAGCACTTTTTGTTATCTAACATGTTTTGTATTTTACTTTTTAATTTATTTCCAGTATCCATTGCATATAGACTTCCTAAACCCTGAGGTTCAATCATGTTTGTTTTTCTCTCCGACTCCCCAGTGCCTAGAACAGTGCCTGGCACCCAACAGGTGTTCAGGGAATGCTTGTTGAATGGATACATAGAAAAACTATGTTTCTCTCCAGAAGTTCTTAGCTGCTGATAAAGGAAGGGCACTATAGAAATAACAAAAGCTTTGCTGTTTTTCTTACAACATTACTCTGCATTCAATAAGCCAGCTAATTATAAATGTAAAAATATCCCTTTAAGTCATTGTAAATTATTCTTCTCAAGAACCTAGAAGCCTGACTAGGTTTTCTTTCTAAAGCAAAGGTTCTGAATACATTAAAATTGTGGGCAAGCTTTTGATTTTTTTTTGTGCAATGAATATTATTCTTGGGGAGTAGCCCTTAAGTTCCATCACAACACCAATTGAAAGAACAACAATAACATCAATAGCGAGAGCCATGAGAACAAGGAAGTATCAGTGGAAAGAGAGATGTTCAGATACCCAGGTTTCTATAAACTGCACTAGAGACTGCTGGCATTCAGGACATATAAATGCTCTTCAGTAAATGGGGTTGAGATTCAGAGGTCAATAAGGTTACAGGGAAAGGTGAATGAGGACATGGGCTGAGGGGCACAACAGGACAGAGGGGAAGCAGGCACAGATGTCGATTCTTCTCTACCTCCACTCCCATTTTAAACGGAAAATATCAAAGGAAAAGAAAAAAATGAGGAGTAAAATAATAACTGATGCAGCCTGGGTTTTCTAGGCTTCCGAATGACTTTTAATCCCAAACTGCAGTAAGTGGGATAGTCACATATGGCAATAGACCACTCTCTTCTGTTATTTGAGAACCCTTTATCAGTTTTCCTACTAACCTTATTCTTTTATCTTTATCTAGAATCTTTAAGAAGATAAGAAATATAATGTCTATATAATTCTCATTTTTACTCATATTCCAAGAAATAGATGACACAAGAGTTGTGTTCCTTTTTTTTTTTTGAATTTCTATACCAACAGCTTGAAAGGATCTACTATTCAATAAAAGGACTTCAACTAAATTTCAAGATCTAAATGAAGAAAGGAGTCTCATCTGCACATTCACTCAACAGCATCCAGGCTTCTGTCCTTGATAAGGTTCCATCCTTTCTAAAATCCTGGAGCAGTGTGGGAAGGAAGGGTGGGTGGGGGGTGTTTCTATGACTATCTCTGTCCCAGGTGCTGATGGTTTTAGCTACTGACCTCTAGGATATGTGTTCCATTAGCACTTAGGAACCACCTTGACAGCTCTTGTCCTTTTCTTTGTGGGTAGGAAAATTGAGGCCCAGAGCAAGACAGGAAAGTCACTTAACAAATCCTGTTAGTTAATGATTGGGTTGATGCACCCCAACACTAAGCATGGTGCTGCCTCCACACAGCAGCCATGCCCAGAGGCAAGACATGAAGATTTCTGCTGCCTCTCTCCCTTCCCAATCAATAAGAACATGGCCTTTCTGAGTCACAGTGGTGAGCCCTTTGAATCCCATGAAGCCATTGAGACTAAGGTTTTGTTGGGCTATGAAGGTAAATGGCTAGTGCCATAAAACACTAAGCCAGATGAACAATCTACCTTTGGAACAATCTAAAGGACTGACACCTTGGATCAAGCTGAGGGACTCACAGGGAGTCTTTGTCAGGACTTACTTGCTTTGCTGCTTCAGCGAGGGCTTCTTTAATTAGTTGGCAATTATGATTTAATATGTGCTCTGTAAGCTGAACTGGAGTTTAGGACTCTAGGACTGAGGACTTTTTAAAATTAAAGATCCTTGTGGTAATCCTTAATTCTGTTCAAATGTCTCAGGTTCTTTCCTTCTTCTAGGTACATGGTAGGGTTATACTTTCCCAAACCTTTGAGTTTTGGCATGACTGGATGATTGGCTCTGGCCAATGAAATAGGAATGTCAGTAATAGTATGACTTTAAAATCTTGAATGTTAGTTCCAAATTTTAATCTGATTGGTCCCATTGTCTCACTTAAAATTTCTAATTCTATTGGACTTCAATTCTTCTCGTTCCTTTTTTTTTCCTGCTGATATTAGTTTGATCTGTAACTGAAAGCTCACGAACCACCCTATAAGTGGATCCAGATGAGCAATGACTTTGACAGACTTAAATATGCGGCGATATATTGCTCTCAAGGCATTCCCCTCCTGAAGACAGGTGATAAGTAGAAGATAAGTAATTTGCTTTCAGGGACTGTGATGCTCTCCTTTAGGGTTCTGGTGGACTTTATGAGATGAAAGAGCATGAAATAGCAGAAAGAAGTCTATATAAAAGTTTACATTCCTTTACTCTTTAATCCTGGCCTGTGCATGTGAGGAATGATACTGATTCCATACAGTTTTGTGCTTAAGTTGCTAAACAGGTATAAATCTCTTTAAGAGCAATAGAGAATAACAAGCCAAAAATTGACATTCTCTGTGTATAAGGTTTGTTTAACAAACTTGAAAAGACTCAACTAGAGCACCAGCTGTCACATAGATACCTACTTGGTGGGGCTGCAGGTGTGCAAGGCCTTCAAGTGTGGCTTCCAGGTTGCAATGGAAACAGATTTCTCATCAGCTGCATAACTACGCCAAACACACTGCATGTGGCACACGTAGGGACATGAAAAAGAAAACAAAAGAGAGTAGGAAATAGAATGACATAACAGGCGGAATATTAAGTTATGCACATTAAGAATTTTTTATTTGGGCCTGGGGTTTTAGCTCAGTGGTAGAGAGCTTACCTAGAATGTGTGAGGCACTGGGTTTGAATGTCAGCACTATCTATCTATCTATCTATCTATCTATCTATCTATCTATCTATAAAATAAAGGTCCATCAACAAACTAAAAAAGTCTTTTGTTTGTCATATTTATCCCTAAGAAAAGCCCAAAGGAAGAAGTAGTCTACTTTGGTATTTTCAGCTGACTGCTGCACAGATTCTGCTACATCAAAATAATTTTCAAAACAACTTGCGTCAAAAAGTGAAAGTGCCAAAAAGTATAGCATAATTTAATTTTTGAATTGGTTAGGAAAAAAAATACTATATTATCCAAAAACAAAATCAGCAATGAGTAACTCATTCAATACATACTGATATCCAAGATACTAGTTAGATAAACTACCTGAGCAGAGATATGCATTCCAGGGAGTGTCTTTGAGCAATATTTGAAAAGACAGAGGCAAAGAATTACCAAAATCCACTATGCAACTATCGAACTAACTAGTAAACTAATGACCTCCAGGGTATGTTAATGATTTCATTAGTGAAGTCCCTGAAGATGAACCATAAAGTAGTTCTATTGCTAAAAATGAAAATAGTGATAACCAGAACAAAGCCAAAACAAGATTGGGAGGGATGTATCTCTAGGAATATAAGTGGAAAACACCTAAGGGTTTAATATCATGAACTAAGAATATGTTTATATCTCTGTGATGTAAAAACATAAGCTCTGTCTACTTCATGCAATCATTCCTGACATTCATAATATGAGATATTTTCATATGATCCTTACAATCAAAGTGTGGATTAAGATCCCCATTTTGTAGATGAGAACAAAAGTGCTCAGATAAATGAAGAGATTTATACAAGCTTGGTGGGGTTGAGACAGCACCCCCAGTTGCCTGGCTCTTGGTGACAGTCTTCCAGTGGGGATTTTACTAAATGCTTGATCACTGTGGTTGAAAGACTTTCTATTTGAACTGTCCATTTGAGATACTGCCTGAGCTTACTTTCCCATGTAGAATTTGGTAAATTTATCCCTTTGCAATGGCCCTGCAAGCATCTCTAACGATCAAATGTTTGCTCCAATCTCCTCAGAGAAAAGTTTTTATTATGATTCATTACTCAGAGTATTCTATTTTGTGTGGCAAATTCATTTAAATGGGTCATATCCCTGCTATATAACCATCAGTCATGATTTTGAAACCTACAATGAAGGAAAAAAGTGATCTAATTATATTCCCTTTCCTGAGCAGCATATCATTGAATAAAAGTAAGCTGAATAAAAAGTCAAAAATTGGCACAACTACTTTGAAAAACTGTCTGGAAGATCTGTTAAAGTTGAACATATATAGTTCCTATGATACAGTTATTCATTCCTAGGTAAATACCTAACAGAAATGTTTATATATGTTCACCAAAAGATATGCACTAATTTCTTCATAAACTAAAGCTGAAAATGCCTTAGATATCTATCAGCAGTAGCAAAAGCAGGAAATTTGTGGTATCGTCATGCAATTGAATACTATATGGTAATAGTTTACTCTAACTATGCTCAACAATATGGGTGAACGTCATATGAATAATGCTCAGTGAAAGAAACAAGACAGAAATGAATACTTTACCATTATGTACAAAAACCAGGGAAAACTAATCTATCCTTAGAAGGGAGCCCAGTGGCTACCCTGGTGCAACAGTGACTGAGAAAGGGCACACAGGAGGTCATGCTCTGCTTATCTGAGTGTTGGTGATGCAGGGTGCAGAGTTCTTGTAGGAAATGTGGTCTTTTCTGCATGCACATTATACTTCAGTAAAATGCTCAGGAAATGACATGAAAAATTAGAAAAATATATAGTAGAACCTGAGGGACTTTTTTATGTTTCCAAGAAAGGTTTTTGTATTTTCAATCAGGATTCCTTGCCTGAAGCTTCATTCTCATGGCTCACGTTGATTTAACCAATAAATCTATGGAAATTTGTGGTAAGCATCTTGACATCTTATAGACAATAAAGCAATTACTAGCCTATCAACTTGAAATGATAGTTTTTGCAACCACATATACAATTTTTAGGGTGACTAGAATAATCAATGAAAATCCATTGACTTTGTTATTGCAGCTTCTGTAGTGGTGAGGCCTAGAGATCCTCTGATGCTGTCAGAATATAAGTGGCTGCTTTAGTTAAATAATTTCTGTAGCAGGTATGATATATATGTGAGCTCTTGATATCCTAAAAGCAAAGCTCATGTAGAACTACATGTATACAGCAGGGTCTGTGCATTATCTGAAACTAGTGGAAAAAAATCTAAAACATCAATACAACAAAAAATGGGACCAAGGCACTATCTGTTAATGTTATAGAGAATTGGGGCCAAAAGAGGCTATGCTGAGAAAATTGAAGATTTTTTTCTTTTCTTTTCTTTCTTTCCTTTTATAATAGAACCTGGCTTCTTGCTCTTTTTAATAAAATTGATCTCAACAGCTAAGCTCTTTTTCCCTTCATTACTGTTCTCCTAAAAATGCCTTGTAAATTAGGGGTACAGAAGGGGCAAGTGGCATCTATTCCAGGGATGATATTAGTCAATGGTTAAAAAGGCAGAGAGAAGTGTAACTCCATTGCTCTAAGAATTCTTAATAACTATGTCCTGCCCTCCATCTCAGCTGATTGCTTCTAGTAGCTGAAATTCAAGTCCACATTTGCAGGATCCAGTACCTAATGTTCCTACATCTTAAAACCTAAATCACATAGTGGTTGGCAAGAGAAAAACAGCACTTTCCCATGGCTGATTTACATGGTGTATCTACTCCAAAGGATAAGTTAACAAGAAGAAAAGTAAGAACCAAATTTGCTAGTTATCAATGAAGTGGTGCTCTAGGTAGCTAAAAAAATTTGAACTTTTTTTCTGTGATCAAAAGTACTATGTAATATAATTCAGCTTTGGAAGTATTTAGTTGTTCTATCTGAAGTAGCACACCTATGGCAAGCTTGACCATTTCTGGAAACAGTTCAGAAGGTTTCAGCTGACCATACAAAGATATATTAGTATGGAAGTTATTTTTTTTTCTTTTTGGTAATGGGCCTTGAACCCAGGGGCACTTAACCACTGAGACACATCCCCAGCCCTTTTATATATATATTTTTTATTTAGAGACAGGATCTTGCTAAATTACTTAGGGCCTCATTAAATTGCTGAGGCTGGCTTTGCACTCACGATCTTCCTGCCTCAGTCTCCTAAGATGCTGGGATTACAGGTATGTACCACCAAGCCCGGCTGTCATTTCTATTTTTAAGAATCCCTTTTCTTTTTAAAAAATTTTTTAGTTGTAGATGAACACAATACCTTTATTGTATTTATTTATTTTTATGTGGTGCTGAGGATTGAACCCAGTGCCTCATATGTGCTAGGCAAGTGCTCTACCACTGAGCTACAACCCTAGACCAAGAATTTCTATTCTGAAGGATTATGCTCATACTATTATTTCTTGATTTTTCAGTTTTAGGCATCATCAATTAACTTCCTATCATAAAAGATAATAACATGGCCCACTTATATGCCCCCTTCCCCTCCTCTCATCCTTACAACAATTTTAGTTATTACTTAGTGTTTTCATTATTGTAAGCATGTAACTACTCTTCCTAGTTTAGAAATGTAACAGACTATAAATACTCATTCTTTTCTCTATAATTTTTTTTGTTTTTTTTTTTGAGTTATCACTGCCCTATTTTAGTTTATTGATTTGATTTTATGTAACTATTACGAAGACATTCCTGCTGTTTCCTACAGAACTGTAAAATTTCTCACGTCAAATGCGTGGTGGAATCTGTCAGTTCTGTTTTTGTGTGTCCTTGAAGATCTTTCTCCTGGATCACTCAGCCTCCTGCTCACTCTGCTACCCAGCCTGCTGTGCCTGTTGCCATGGGGGGCTTCCCGTCCTTATTGCTGTAGAGATGGGACTCTTATTCCCTGAATCTCATGTCTCTTCCTCTCTTGGTTTATCTTCTTCTGGAAGGACAGTCCTATCCAGGTAGTTTCTTGGGCAAGGAAAAATAGTAGGTAAGTTTTTGAGATCTTTATGTCTAAAAATGCTTTTGTGCTACTGTTGTTCTCCATGACTGGTTTGGCTGGGGATAGAATTCTAGGTTGGAAGTATTTTTCCTCCATAATTTTGGATGTATTATTCTACTGTCTTCCAATTTTAGAGTTACTAATGAGATAGATATTCAATGCCATGCTGATTCTTGTTCCTGTGGATATGTCCTGCTCAGAAATCATTTAGGATATTCTTTGTTGGAAGTGTTCTGATATCTCATTATGATAATCTTGGTACGAAGTTTTTGGTTTACTGTGCTGGGCATTTTGTACACTCTTTTATGGTGGCCACTTCTGACACCCAGTTCTGGAGAATAATGTAATATTTATCTGGTAAAATCTCCCCTCTTCAGTTTTCCTGTCTCTATTTAAGGTGCCCTCTTGGAGATTTTCACAATCTTATCTTCCCTATTATTTTTCTCTGCTGTCATTTTTTTTAACATATGGAATTTTTTCCTGATTCTATTCTTATTTATGGTCGAAGCACTAAAAAAGATGTATAGTCTGTATAAGTGGCTTGAGCTTATGGATTGGCAGCCTTACTTTAGGATAACTTGGTAAAGATTAAGTTATGCCATTAGAGGAAGCCAGTTTTTATATATACATGTGTGTGTATATATATATATATATATATATATATATATATATTTTTTTTTTTTTTTTCTTTTAGGCCAGTTAGCATCCTCAAAAGCAACATTTTTTAGTTGACTCCTTTAAGGAAATGAATTCTATCAGCATTGATTTCTCAAACTTTTATTCAATTCCCTTGCTTCTGTTTCTAGGAAAACATCTTCGCTGTACCCTGAATTGGTCCATCTTCTACAGAGGCAAAACTCTGACATGGGTTGGGAGAGTCTTTAAATGTTAACCCCAAAGCTCAAAAAATGCCTATATGAAGGTGCAAAGTTGCTTTTTCAAAAGAGTAATGGATTTGGATTCAGACAGCAAGAATTTTGGTCCTAGATTTTCCTAGGCTTATCTTGAGGATCAAGTAACATTGTGTATTAGAAGTACTCTGCAAACTAAAAAGCACTTCATGAGTCTTAAACATTATTAATAAAAGTTGTGACATTTGGGCAGGTATTCAAAACGTTACTGAGAGCTGATTTCTTTCCCCAGACTGCTCCACTTGAAATGAAAAGTTAATTTAAATGAATCATGCAAAGATATTGACACAGCTAAATTTGCTGCAAACTTCTGGGGTTTTTAAGCTTTTCCCTAAAACCCTGAAATGCTGGTTAATTTAGTTCTATCACCAACCAAATGACAAAGCAATCTGGGCATCTCACTTGCCCTTGTAGGATGAGAGTGGCTCTGGCTTAAAACAAATGAGATTGCTTTGGGTCTTGATGCTTTGTATGTTCAGCAAATCAAGTCAGGTTTATTGGGTAAGAAAATGAATGATCAGCAAATGAGGCTTGCTTTTCAATCTAGTGCATCCTTAAAAATAAATTTCTACAAGATATAATCAAGGCCTAAAGCCCTGAATTCTGTCCAAAAACTACATCAAGGAGAAGCAATGAATTAATAGTCATATTATTCCTATGTATAATAAATAAATAAGTTGCATTTGAATGAGCAAGCAGTTACTTTTTAAATTAGTAAATTCTATTTTGATTTATGAAACTATGATTATATTTTAAAGGTGTTCTTCAACACTTCAAGTACTGTATTTTCTATTAGTTTCTGCTTAAGAACAATATATACTTTGGAAATTTAAGTAAAAAAAATTCATGATTTTGCTCTATTTTTATCTCAATTTTTACAAGTTTAATTGCTGATTGTGATATATGTTATATAACCAAGTTCCATAAAGTAAAATTCTAAGCCTCCAAGCAAATCTGTTCAATCAGCATCTTCTCCACCTTTTATAGGTTACCTGTGCTGCAGGCCTTGCCTTAGTTAGGCTGTGGACATATAAATGCCTTGCTCCAGTGATTTAATGCAGGAAAACAGCAATTTATTTTTAAGTTCATTTGGAAATTGTTTTTGCACAGTTTAGTAGTTGATAATGACAAGTCAGATCAGAAAAGTTCCTGCAGTTTTTCTCCACATATGTATTATGTAATATGGTATCCAATAGTCACTTAAAGCTATTGAGCACTTGAGAAGTATCTAGTACTACAAAGGAATGGATTTTTTTATTTTAATTAATTTATATTTAAGTAGTTACATGGAATCTGTGGTTATTGTATTGGGCAGAATAGCCCTATAGCATCACAATTGATATATGCAGAGAAATTCCTACAACAGCTCACTTGCTAACAGAACAGTTGATATTCTAAGAGGTTTTAAGATGTAAGAGGTAAGATGTGTTATTGGCTCCTTAGAAGGACAGGGTTTGGTGCCCAGATGGAAGCAAGAAACCTATCAAATAACCTTTCACTCACAGGTTGGAAACATTTTTCTAGAGGGAAGGGATATTAAAGAGAAGAATATGTAAAGAGAAGATTTTATTAGAAGTGTGGCTAAGTGCTAAAGGACGAAAGGCTCCGAGTTGGGGGCTGGGTGTTTTGTGTGTGGCCTCCTTTCATTCTGCTGATCTTTGTTGGGTATCAGCTCATACATTCTTAGTATTTAGAGGATCTTTTCCTTTAAGAAAATTAAGTTTTCTTTCTCTTTTGTGCTCTTTTAAAGCTGGAAATTTAAAAAAGTAGACACTCTCAGTGGTTTGTATTAGAAGTCATGTGGAAAGATCCATTTTTAGTCAATAGTTGCAGAATAGGCCGATTTCACAATTAATGTTCTTATTTAGCCATTAGACATGAACAGATCTCTTTCATGGTATAACCGATGTTCTCTCCTCCCTCCTTTCCCTAGCTCCTCCTGTACTGGAGGTATTGCAAGGCTAAGGGTTCAAGTGGTTGCTTCCTATTACATGAAGACAAGCCTTCAAGTACCTGGGACTGCCATCCCAAACACCTCCAGTTTAGAAGTTCTGGAGCTTAAGTCCCTGGCAGAATTGGGAAAAAACTTTAGATTGTAGAATTATCTTATCTATAATTAAGTACCAACTTCACATTATGAGTCTGGCAAAAAATATATTTTGTGATTCTTAACCTGGTTCTAGGATGGTTCCACACCCAAAAGATATGGATAGCAAGAGGATAGCTCATTTCTTTTAATGCTAAAGCAAATTCTGAGTTATCGTAAAGAAAACAAAATGCTTAACAATCAATATATGATGAGCTAGCCTCAAGTAATATGCTTATTATTTCATATCCTCCATCATGGATGTAACCCTTAATCCCACCAGCTCTTAAAATAAGATAACTCTTTCAAGTGATTGCCCTAGACAACATTAAAAGCAATTTCACGGGCACTAAACTTTGACGCTCTAAACACATCTGTTGTTCTTCAGCCTGGGCATACATCTGGCTGGAGGAAGCTAACTGTCACGCAGGGAACAAGGCCATGTTCTGTTTCATTACTTAATGATCAGTTATGTTTCACCAATCATTCATAAGACACATTAGGTCATTCCAGGAGAAACCAAACTGCTCATTTCTACATGGTCTTGCTGGTAAGGTTAATTAGTCTGAATAATGCTTAGATCATTTGCTGAAAAAATATATTTCAGTTGGGAGAGAGGAAATACCTGCCCAAACCCAAGACTGTTCATTAAGTCCTGACTTTATTTTTTAAAAGGAGACAAAATAGTAGCTCTACAAAAAACAAAGAAGCACAGAGATTTGAAAATGACCCATCCAGCACTTATGGAGACAGATGTTGTGGTCTACCTATTGAATTGCCATTTACCTGAATGAGGTTGGCAGCTGGATTCCTTCTTTTCTCGAAGTGTTTCTGGCGGTGCTGTTCCTGTACTTTTAATGCAAAACCTGAGCCAAGAATGCCCTGGAACAAAATATAAAAATAGCACTTTTAAAAACAAATTTCAAAAGTACTGTTAAATAATACAAGTATTTAAAAAACTGCTAAAATGAGTCTGAGAAGACAAACAGTGTGTAACTTGTCCAGAATAAACATGTTACATACTAAAACAAACACTATTTATCTCTATTATAATAGCGTCAGCTAATGGCAAGTTGTTAGGCAACATTGTCAAGAGATATAATAACTTCTGTTCTTTAGCAAATCAACTAGGGTTTGCCTTTTTCTTGGCTTTGCTGATATAGTAATAGGCATCATACACACAAATATAATTTGCTATTAAATTTTTTTTTGTGTGTGGCCTTCTCTGTGACATCTTTTTGTGTCTAAATTGGAGTGAGTGGTCTTATCTAGTGATAGCATTTTGAGGACATGAATTCTGGATTTTGACTTTGAGAGAATTAAAATCTTGCTGCTGTGGATATGGGAGGACTTTATCCGTTTGACAAAACTCTGAAGTTATATATTCTTGATCCATGAAATGGGGGAGGGCGTGTTTCAAGTCTGTCCTAGTTATAATCCTTCATGATGCTATAATTTTACAAATAAAGTAAAAGAGAGTGGAAAATTATCCAGATGAGACAAATAGGCACTCAGTTTTGAAGAAAGAGGTTTTCCATTTTGCCTGTCTATATGATAGAGACACGAGCATGGGTCATTGCAAAGCACACTCTGTTTTTCTTGTTTTCATCTCACACTATTAGCATTCCTTACCTTTTGGTTTTGGCTCACCTATTCAGATTTTGGGGTTAGTAAGATTAGTATGTTTATGTTAGTTTTTGGCTAGTTTTCTTTCTGTCTGCTTATCATCTTGATCTGCCAAAATCCTGGTTCTTTGATGTTCCCCTCTCCTTTCAGTTTGCTTTGGTCTAACATTTGTGAAATCAGGATGCTTTTCGTCTCAGCCTTGCATTGGCTTTCAGAGATTGCTACATTCAGTCTCTGGGCTTTGTCTATACTCTCGACTTTATTGGTATGAGACTTGGAACTCCACTGCTTTCAAGTTTGTGGATTTTATTTGCTAGCTATAAATTATTAGCTTTTTATTAAACTTCAAGGAGTCTAACCCTTAGGTTAGAGATGGACATCTTAGAAGCACTAAGTCATTATTTGCCATAGGTAAGGAATGGTTGCTTTCCTTTTCTTTATGTTTTTTTAAAGTAGTTCAAGGATGATACAGGTTGTCTGGAGAGGTGGTGGGTTTATTTCATCTCTTGGAGGTGTTAGTTAAGTTTTGACTGGGTGACAGTTTGGCTAAGATATTTTTGGGCTCTAGATAGCTTTTAACCTTCCCCTTATCTTGAGATTCCACAATTCTGAGTACATCTGTGACAATAACCAGACAATCAGTAATGCAATCATGTTTAAAATACACAATTATAAAATAATACTATTTGCTACTAATGAGCAATGACCTACTCCATTACTAATTAGATAAATGACTGTCCTATGTAATGAGCAATGACATCATAGGTTCTGCTTTCCATCTCTTTTTTTCAGTGCATGCCTCATGCTGTCTAAGATTTCCATCTCATACAGGTTGTGATTATACAAACTAAGCTTTAGAATAACTTGGTTTCTGTGATCTGGTTTGCAGATTTAAACAATATTTACCTCCACTTGGAGGTTATACAAATGGCTTTCCATTTCCAAATCCAGATCAACTCTAGTCATTTGTAATTCCTAATTTTTTTATTATGTAAAGTTATTTAGGAAAAATTGATTTATTTTCCTTTTAATGTTACTGTCCATGCAGTATAAACATATAAGAGAATATAAAACCTCAAAATTTATAGCACTTATTTATAATATGTATTAGATGTATGTACATTATATATATATTGTATATAACCAATTCTTATGGAACATAAGATTTTGTAGAAGTTGAATTAACAGCCATAACTGCCAGTTTTGAGCACTTGTGTAGTTATGAGTTTAGAAAATGAAGTCAGGCCTTATATGGCACAACTTAAGTATCTACCAAACAGACTAAAATTTGCTGAAAGTCATGTTGGCTTTGCTTAGAAACCTATATTAGTAGGTGGCAACTGTTTGCTACATATCTCTTGCGTCAGATTGTACATTACAGCAGTTATTAAACCAGGTCTGCTCACTGTCTCACTGTGGCTCCATTCCAACTTTCTTCCACCTCTCTCTAAGTATACAGCTCAGTGCACCTAAATAGAAGTCTTCTAAGTAAAGTCTGTTATGATATATATATATATATATATATATATATATATACATACACATACACACACACACACACAACATGGCTTAATCTTTCAACATATGTGCTATCCTTTCAAATACTGACACCAATAATACAGATTCTTAGAAACTGAGTTTTGTTTTCATTCATTTTCTAGGAAAACAAGGCTTAATTTTTTAGGTTTTAAGTTTTAGTACTAGTCTGAGTAGTGCTACATAAATACTAAGTAGAAAAAATGCTTTGCTAAACATTTTAAATATTTATCCCTCCTTATCTTCCAGCTTAAATGAGCCTAATTTGTATCCCACACTTGGAAAACAACCTCTGCCAAAAGACTTTTTAACAGTTGTTAATATTTTACTATATATAATAATTATATTTGTTAATATTGTTAATGATTATAGAGGTTAATATTTATTTTTTGAAAGGTTAATGTCCTGAGTCAAACAGAACTAGTCCTTGCATTGAACTTATTAGCTGAATGTCTCAAGCAATTCAAACTGCAAAAATTTCTTCATCAGTAAAAAGATACCTGTAGCAGGAGTATTAGTGGGAGGGAGGGAGCACCCCAAAGAGGAGAGAGACCTGCTCATCAGGGTGATGCCAGGATGCAGGGGCTGTCTCTGTGAGCTCTTTAGTCTAGGCATAGAAAGGGCCTCAGAAGAAGTCACACAGGATGACCTGTATGACTCTTTGATGTGCAAGACACTCCTTCAGCATTGAAGGTAAGATGGGGACACCCTGATCTTCAAGTTTACTGGGTGGGAAAAGCCTGAAACTGGAGTGATCACAATCCATCTCTAACTTTCTCAGCAAAATGCCAATGTGTCCTCCTAAATTTCAATCAGACAACACTGTTGGCTGGCAGGTGCACATAACAAAATGATAACTCAGCACCTCCTGCCAGGTTGCAGTAAAAGATCCATAACAGAGGCAACTTTTCTTGGCGTTGTTAAGAAATGTTCTGTTCTGTGTGAGCAAATTCTTCAGGTTTCCTGTGTTACTTTAATTTGCATATAAAATTGTAATCATTTTACCAGAAACATTCCCAGGAATGGCTAGTCTCTGACCTTTAACCTAAGAGCAACACAGCTTAAACTCCCTGCAACATTTCTAGAGTTTCATTATAGGGCACGAGGCATTTCACTTTGCTGGAGGCAGCCAGCTTCCAGGGGCAGGTTGACCCTAACACTACTTGGCCCCAGGTCTTCACACACTTTGAACACTTAGGTCTGCTCACTTCTTACAGATATTCTTTTCCTTCCTTTGCTGTTAACCTTTCACCATTTCTCCCCATTGTAGTGTTTGTTCTATCACTTTTCCTCTATATTTGTTGTTTTTAATCCTTAAAGAATTGTGAAACTATATGGGTCATTTTATTAGAATGATGAAGAAGACTAGATTATGAGTTAGGTCTCAAGTGGCTTTGCTACAAGACAGCAGATACACCCCTGTCTATTTAATTACATCTGCTATCTATGTTAGCTAAGGGTAACTATAAACACAAAAGAAGCAGATATTTGGGGCCATTATTTTAGGAACAAAAATCACAAACTGTGTTTCACTGTTCTTAAGTTATTTTCCTGCAGGAATCTAATTGTTCAGTGAGTCTCTGCCCTGTTCTGGATTGTTCAGAATGCTAGAGGATTTGGCTTTGGATAAGTGAATTTATTTATTTTTTTAAAAATTCTCTTTGATGTCATCATCTTGTAGGAAACATGTCTTTTTATATTCATGAGGTAAAGGGAAGTAGCATTTAAGTTTTCTTTATAACAAGCCCTTGTCTTACATTATCATATTGGTTGTTTTTTTCCCTTTTTTAAAAAAAATGTTTTATTTGTTCTTTTTAGTTATTCATGACAGTAGAATTTTGACATCATACATATATGGAGTATAACGTCCCATTCTTGTGATTGTACATGGTGTGGAGTTACACTGGTTGTGTATTCAAATATGAACATAGGAAAGTTATATCTGATTCATTCTACTATCTCATAGTGGTTATTCTTCACAAAATTTCTCTGGGTTCAATAATTCTTCCTCCATTGTATCCATGCAGAAACATATTCAAAGTCACTCCTTGAACTGAATTATGTTCCCCCTAAGTTGATATGTTGGAGTCTTAATTTCTAAACCTCAGAATATAACCCTATTTGAAGATAGGGCTCTTCCTGAGGTAATCAAGTTAAAATAAGGTCATTCAAGTGGTCCCTAATCCAACATGACTGATGTTCTTATAAGAAGAAGAAATTTAGACATGGGAGACATAAAGATACAGGAAGAAGATGTCGTCGTCCTCAAGCCAAGGACAGGGTCCTGAAACAGATGATTCTCTCATGGTTTTCAGAAGGGACTAATCCTTCCAATACCTTGATTTTAGATTTATATCCTCCAAGAACTGTGAGACAATACATTTCTATTATTTAAGACAACCAGTCTGTGGAAACTTGTTATAGCAGCCATAGCAAACCAATATAGTCATATAGTATGTGACAAATAATTCAAACTCAGGTCTAATGCCCAAGCATGTGCACAGTCTTTTAAATCTCTTTTCTGTGAGTTTGAGTGTTCTGAGGAAAAACCAGCTGGTCAATATGGAGCTGGGCACTGGCTGTCAGAAGGACCAAGAATGCCCTTTGCATTTATTAACAGGAAAGGGAGGATCCCCATGAAATAAACGGTGGAGCTGAAAAGCTCCCTCTGACCCACTCCCTTGGCTTTCTTTGGAGGGTTGCTCTCAAGTTTCTCCTTGGCAGAGACTGTGCCATGGCATTTGTGTGTGTCTGGAGGACACGACTATGTTCTTCAAGTTCACCTGTGACTACCACCTCAACACTCCATTATGCTGACTGCCTCCCTCACCTCCCAGGCAGAGGGGACAAAAGTTAGAACTTGGAAACAGAAACTATAATATTTCCTTCAACTGCCAGCAAAGAAACAAGAGGATAAAATGATCAGAAAAATAAACTTCATTCATTAAGTAGAGAATAATCAGAAACTTGTGGGAAGAAAAATGTGTTCTTCATTCTGATAAGATGCAGAAACAGCTCATTAAGAAAATCAATGACAGTGACACAAAGAATAAATCACTGGACACATTTAAAACCCTTTGAGATCATATGTTTTTCTTTCAAATGAATCTCCACTTGTGCATAGCCATCTATTTAGTAGCACATGTTGTAAACCAAATCAAAACAATCAGTTTAAAATGAAGACATCTTTAAATCTTCACAAATATTTAAAATGTTTCGGGGGCATGCTGATTGAAAAAGTGATGCCATCTGAATTATTATTTGATCATAAAGACCTAGCTGGTATTAATGTCTAAGTGCTTCTGAGGGAAGACCATATTTTATAAATTATCCACCTAGATATATTTAGAAAAGTCAACGTTATATTAGAAAAATTAAATTTGTCAGTGACATAGATATGTTCCCAAGCATACCAATGTGTGAAAGCTGACTCCACTAAACCTCTAAGACCTAATTGAAGCTGCTTTATTGATGCAAAGATACTCACGGCAGGAAGTGCAAAGAAAGAAATGCCAAGGAGTGCAAAGCCCGCGGAAAGCAATCTTCCCAGCCAAGTTAGGGGAGTTTTGTCTCCATAGCCAATAGTGGTCAATGTAATCTAAAAACAAAATAAACAGAACTTTCAGCTTAAGTACTTGAGAGGGAAGTTAGGACCCATGAACAGGAGACAAAGCAACATTTCCACTAAATCATTACTCAACAAGTCTTGTTGGCGCATTTTATTGCTGTGCTTTAATTTTCCATGACGCATAACAGAACTTTGCTTTGTTTAAGGAAAGGAATAACCTACATAGTTGTTTCTCCCATATAACAGTTTTCCATCTTTTCTAAGTGTATTCAGGGAAAGGTTATTTAAGTAAGCAGATAATCATCAGTGATACAGAAATGATAGCACTGCAGATTTAGGACTGGATCAGAACCCTAAACAATAATTTATGTTAATTAAGGCTGTCCATCCATTACCTTGGCAGGCACTTCCTGAAGTCTTAGTGTGTGCAAGGTACATGTCATGATTTGTAGTGGAACAAATATGAGAGGTAAACAGTTCTTGGCCTAAGATATTAAGGGAGGTGTGTCACACACAAATAATTAAAACACAAAAATAGGGCAAAGCAGGGATGGTGATGGAGGCACAAATAAACTGCTGTGGGATTTTAAGGACAATTGATTGTTACTGGCGTGGAGGTTAAATAGGTTTTACTGGGGAGATGTCGATCATGGCTAGGTTTTGAAGGAGGGGTAATATTTTGAAAGACAGAAATGATCAAGAGTGGCCTCTGGGGAGAGGAAACAAGTGACCAGCGGCACAGCGGTGAGAACATACAGGACATTCTGAAAAGTATAAGTGGTTCTCTGGGCTGGGGCATGGTGGATTTGTAAAGGGTTAGTGACTTCCTCAGTTTCTTCCATTACTGTTTTATAGTTTTCAGTGTATAGGTCTTTCACCTTCTTATTCAAAAATTCCAAGTTTTTATTTCATTTTTTTGATGGCTATTGCAAATGGCAATATTCTTTTTCTTTTTCAAATTTCTTTTTCAGAAAGTTTGTTGTAAACATAGAGAAGCTAACAATAGAAGGACTGTGGGGTGTGTTTATTTTGTATCCTGAAACTTGACTGAATTTTTCATTGTAACAGGTTGTGTATGTGTGTGTGTGTTTAATCTTTAGAGTTTTTTCCTACGTATAAGACTATGTACTCAGTAAACAGTAGTACTTGCACTTTTTCCTTTCTTGTTTGGATAGCTTTTATTTCTTTCTCTTACCCAATTGCAAGGACTTCCAGTGCTATAATAAATAGAAGCGGCAAGAGTGGGGCATCCTTGCTCTGTTTTGGATCTTAAAGGAAAGACTTTCAAATTTTCACTGCTGAATATAATGTAAGCTATGGACTGTCATGTTTGATCTTTATTATATCAAGTTACCTTTCTTCTTTACCTAATTTATTGAGAGTTTTGATCATGAAATGATACTGATTTTTTTCAAAGGCTTTTTCTGCATCAAATGAGATGATGTGAAATAAACTAGGCACAAAAAAACAAATACCACATGGTCTCACTTAAATGTGGAATCTAAAACAATTGAACTTAGAAGCAGAGAGTTGAATGGTAGTTACCAGAGGTGTGAGTTGGGGAGAATGAAATGTGTTTTTTTTTCTTTAAAGAGCAGTTGCACAATGTTGTGAATATGGCTAATTATAGTGCAGAGGATATTTCAAAATTGCTGAGAGTAAATATCAAAATTCTCACCAAAAATGATTTGAGGTGTTTGAGGTGGTAGATACATGAATTAGCTTGATTATTATATATTATATTGATAAATCATAACATCCCTTGTACCTCATAAATATGTACAACAATAATCCATCAACATATAACAAAAACAAAGAGCATTAGTAGAACAGGGGGTTAACTAGATTTGCTCAAGATATCTTTTTATTTTGGGTTACCATTCTGGGGATCAAATCCAGGACCTCATACATGCTAACCAAGGTGTTCCACTGAGCCACATCCTCAGCCCCAGGAAGTGTCTTTGAAAATGATAATCAAAGCGTGTCTCTCCCATGGTCAATCAGCTCCAGGGGCCCCTATAGCTCTAGAACAAAGTCCCAGCTCCTCTCCAAGGCCTTCAGGGTTTTGAATGATTGGGCCTCTTCCCACTTCTCAGGCATCTTCTTCCATCACTCTCCATCTCATACTGCATCCATTAAGCCTGCCCTGATGCTCATCAGCACACTGATCCTTTGCTTGCCTCTGGGTCTTTGCACTTGCTATTTTCTTTGTGGATTTCTCTTACTCCCAGGTCTCCATTCAGGTAGCTGCTCAATTGTCAGCTCCACAGAAAGACCAACTCTGATTAATGGGTACAGTTGAATAAGAGGAGTAACTTCTAATGTTTTATAGCACAGTAGAATAACTAGAGCTTTCAATAATCAATAAAATATTTTAAAATATTAGAAAGGATTTAGCATGTTTCCAACACAAAAAAAATGATAAGTGTCCATAACAACAGAAACGGCAATTAACCTGCTCTGATTATTATACAGTGAGGGTTTGTATGTATCTGCATTTGCTATATGTCAATTAAAAATAAAAACAAATCTAAAAATGACTATCCCTGATCACCTTATTTAAGATTTTTCCCTGCCAATTGTTCCCTAAATCTTTACTCTGCTCATTTTTAAAAGATTTTTCTTTTTAAAAATAGTTAATTTATTTTAATTAGGTATATATGACAGCAGAATGCATTTTGATTCATTATACACAATTGCAACACAACTTTACAATTCTAGGGTTTCACATGATGTAGCTTGGTGCCACATGTGCAGTCATACATGTACCTAGGGTAATGATGTCCATCTCATCCCACTATCTTTCCTGCCACCATGCACCCTCTCTACTTTCCATTCTCTCTGCCCATCCAAAGTTCCTCCATTTTTCCCGTGTCTGCCCCCTCCCTGTTATGGATCAGCATCCATTTATCAGTGAGAACATTTGGCCTTTGGTTTTTTGGGATTGGCTTACTTCGCTTAGCATGATATTCTCCAACTCCATCAATTTACTGGCAAATGCCATAATTTAATTTTCTTTTAATGCCGAGTAATATGCCATTGTGTATATATACCACAGTTTCTTTATCCAATCATCTATTGAAGGGCATCTAGGTTTCTTCCACAGTTTAGCTACTGTGAATAATGCTGCTGTAAACATTGATGTGGCTGCATTACTATAGTATGCTGATTTTAAGTCCCTTGGGTATAGACTGAGGAGTGGGATAGCTGGATCAAATGGTGGTTCCATTCCAAGTTTTTGAGGAATCTCCATACTACTTTCCAGATTGGTTGCACCAATTTGCAGTCTCACCAGCAATGTATGAGTGTAACGTTTACCCCACATCTTTACCAACATTTATTGTTGTCTGTATTCTTAATAGCTCCCATTCCAACTGGCGTGAGATGAAATTTTAGAGTAGTTTTGATTTGCATTTCTCTAATTACTAGAGATGTTGAACATTTTTTAATGTATGTGTTGATCAAATTTTTATCTTAGCCCATTTATTGATTGGGTTGTTTGATTTTTTTTTTTTTGGTGTTAAGTTTTTTGAGTTCTTTATATGTCCTGGAGATTAGTGCTCTATCTGATGTGTGTGTGGCAAAAATTTGCTTCCAAACATGTAGGCTCTCTGTTCACCTCATTGATTGTTTCTTTTGCTGAGAAGAAGCTTTTTAGTTTGAGTCCATCCCATCTATTAATTCTTGATTTTATTTCTTGAGCTTTAGGATTCTTGTACTCTGTTAATTTTTACTTATAGATGATATCAATATCTTAAATAGTATATATTGATTAAATTTACTTGTTCGCTGGTTTCCCTGCTAGAATGTAAAAATCATGTAGGCTCTGTCTATGTCTTGCTTACTGCTGAATCCAAGCACTGTGACTGGTATACAGTAGTAGTCACTCAATAGGTATGCACTGAATGAATTAAAAAAACCTTAGGTGGTGGGTTAAGAATTCTGTTTCCTGTTTTAAAGCAAGGAAATACTTATGAAAGGTTTTTAAGGCAGTGTACATTGAAATTGTATTGGTTTTAGAAATTGAAATTTTAGCAGAAAATGTTTAGAATGGGTTGGAGCAGGGAGAAATGAGAGGTGGAGAAAACAGTTAAGAGATTGTATGGAAATGAAAAGTAGAGAGACATGTTTAGGAAGTTCAATAGAAATACGTTTACTGCATGTCTGGGGTAAAGGGAAAGACTAAAAAATGACTTTAAAAGTTCAAGTGGCAAGATGTTTGTGGCATAAATAAAAAATACAACAATGAAAAAGAGAAGGTTTTAGAGTAAAGGTGAAGAGTTTGTTTTTGCAAATAATGGTTTTTTAAATGTCAGTGTGACGGATGTAGTCAAGTCTAGCAGGAATTTGAGAACGAGAGCTTGATTTTGAGAAAGATTGGGTTTGGCATGATATTTGGGTTTTGAAATCTGGCACAGAATGATCCTTGAAGCTTTGCACATAAATGACATTATAAAGTAAGAAAAGAAAAGGTTCAAGGACACCGTAGGAAAGAGATATTTATGGGATGGAAAAGAAAGAAGAATATCGTTCTTCAATAATAGAAAACAATTTAAAAAGCCTATATCAATGAAACCCTACTGGAGAAGAGAGGGACTGTCACAAAGGATCAGGAAATTCCTGATGTTACAGAGTAATAGGGAATCAAAAGAATGAAGATTGAGAAAAGGTACCAACATCTTGGGGATAAGCAGTCGTGAAGGAGCCCTGAGAGTGATTGCTCATGTCATGCCATCTTACCTGGGCTTTGAAGGGGAGGGTACCATTCTGAGAGACAGAGACGATAAAAGGAGATAGACTCCAGGACATGACCTTGCAGAAGCATTCAGCTGAGCAGGAAATCCTTCCTAGGAGAACTTTTTTCTCTTCACTTCCATGTTTTTTCCTGTGTTTCTGGTAGCTCATCTTCTGTGGCTCTCTCCTACTCCTTTCCATCTTTGGGCATTGGATTCCTAAGATTTGACTTTAGGTCTTTTAAAGATTATTCTTCTTGGACTTTCTTTTTTTCTTGCTTTCTTTCTCTCTCTCTC